CAGGCGCCCCATGTCTTCACATTTTTTTTTGGCTCCATTCTCTCTTACCTCTCTCTGACACTCTAGTAACACAAATGTTAAGACCATATGTGATATTGCATCACAAATCTCTAAAGCTCTATTTTTTTTTTCAATCTCTTTTCCTCTCTGCTGTTCAAGTTACGTAGTTTTTATTGATTTATCCTCATATTCACGGACTTTTTCTTTGGTCAATTCTGGTATTAAGCTAATCTAGTAAATTTTTATTTCAGATATTGCATTTTTCAGTTCTTGAACATCCATTTCATTTTTTATATAGTTTTCTTTCTCATCTGAAATACCCTATCTTTTCCTTATTCACAAGTATATATTATACTCTTGAACATTATTATTTAACTGTTTTAAAATTCTTGTCTATTAATTTCCAGTATCTAGGTCATCTTGGGATTGATCTCCATTAATTGCCTTTTTCTCTTGAGGATGAGCCAAGTTCTCCCATTTCTTCATATGTTAAGTAATTTTGGATTTTTGTCTAGATATTATAAATGACGTGTTATTGACTTTAGATCTTGTATATTCATCTGAAGAGTATTAGCATTTTGTTTTAGCAGGCAATTAGCTCAACTGGATTTGGCTAGAGTTTATATATGGAATGTGGGGCTCCCCCTCTTTGGCTTTCTTCTTTTCAGGATTTCCTCCTCGCTTTCCAGTGGTTGTAGTTGCTCCAAATTCTGTCCTTACGGTTTTTCAAGCCAGAGAAACTGAGAGCACCAACCCGTCTGATGCAGACTGGGGACTTCCTTCACCTCTGAGAAGCCAAATAGCCATACTCCTAGTACAGATACTAAACTCTAGATTTGAATTTAGAGCAGATGGGTCCTGGAGGCACCTGGGTAGCTCAGCTGGTTAAGCATCTGACTTCAGCTCAGGTCATGATCTTGGAGTCCTGGGATTGAGCCCCGCATAGGTCTCCCTGCTCAGCGGGGAGCCTGCTGTCCCTCTGCCCCTCCCCTCTGCTTACACCTGCATTCTCTCCCTCTCAAGTGAATAGAGCAGATGGGTCTTATTTCTATCTTTGATGTTGACATGCAAAATGACTTGGGGCAGTCACTTCACCATTCCATTCACTTGTTAGAGAAGGGAGCGCTATTTCATCTAATATGATCCCTTGATAACTGGCCGCCTTAAACTGATACAACTTCTAATATTGATCACAAGGAATCTTGATGTAAAAACTCTTTTAGACCAAAAGCAAAAAAATAATTATAAGGTAGCTCATGCGCAAATGGCTCTCTTTATTCTTGGGAAATATAAGAATTTATTAAGTTGAAAGTGCTCTAGGCTGGGGCACCTGGGTGGCTCAGTCGTTAAGCGTCTGCCTTCAGCTCAGGTCATGATCCCAGGGTCCTGGGATCGAGCCCCGCATCTGGCTCCCTGCTCCGCCGGAAGCCTGCTTCTCCCTCTCCCACTCCCCATGCTTATGTTCCCTCTCTCGCCATGTCTGTCTCTCTGTCAAGTAAATAAATAAAATCTTAAAAAAAAAAAAAAAAGTGCTCTAGGCTTCCAAACATTCAAACTTTGCGCTTACTTCCCAGGTAAACAGGTATTTTCTTGACAGTGTATTCATCAAGCTTATAAAAAAAGTTAAACAGAAGCAGGAAGAGGACCTCACATATTTCAAAGTTAATGTTGCATGAAGCAAACTAATAGCTAATATTACTCTTTGATTCATCTTTTTCTAAAATCACTTTGATCATGCATAAACACATATTACTAAAAGGCATTATTAATCTACTGTTAATACTCTGAGTTTTCTCTGACCTTGCTTTCACACAGATTCTTTCTCTAACCCATTTCCTTCCAGATCAAAGCAAAAGATCATAACAAAAGATAGTTTAAAAAAAAAAACCCTCATAACTGTTTGGGCTCTGTTCGCTCAATGCCATGACAGAAATGTTTTTTTTTTTAGTATGAAAGTATGAGAAATAATAACTCATTTGCGAGACAGAAGAAGAAGAATGAAATTTTATTTCAGAGATCATGTTTTACATTTCTTTTGACTTCCTCCACAGCATATAGCATATAGTAAGCATTCACATGACTAGTTGATGTCTTGATTGATTCTCATGTTATGCCCTTAACAAATTATCTAAATAAAAATATTAAAAAAAAATATTGGGGTGTCTGGGTGGCTCATCGGTTAAGCGTCTGCCTCTGGCTAGGGTCGTAATCCCGGGTCTCAGGATCAAGCCCCGTGTCAGGCTCCCGGCTCAGTGGGGAGCCTACTTCTCCCTCAGCCTCTGCCTCCTCCCCACTCACGCAAGTGCTCTCTCTCTTTCTCTCAAATAAATAAATAAAATCTTAAAAAAAAAGAAAAAAAATTTCCAGCTGAGAAATTCTGAGAAAACATTTTCTCACACACACCCACATACACAAAATCTAGTGATATGTGCTTTTTTTTAAAGTTTTTAAAGAATGCTTATTATAGGGGCACCTGGGTGGCTCAGTTGGTTAAGCAGCTGCCTTTGGCTCAGGTCATGATCCCAGAGTCCTGGGATCGAGCCCCATGTCGGGAATCCCTGCTCAGTGGGGAGCCTGCTTCTCCCTCTCCCTCTGCTGCTCCCCCTGCTTGTGCTCTCTCTCTCTCTGTCAAATAAATAAATAAAATCTTTAAAAAAAAAGAATGCTTATTATAAATAGTAGTTTATATATAAATGGTTAGTATTTAGACTATGCATTTAATCACTAATGAAGAAGATATAGCATTAGTTAGTTAATTTTCCCTAAACTCTTTTTCCCAGTCACTTACACACACACATTCCCAGCACCACACTCTTGAGCTAACACACAGTTTCCACCATAGGAAGGATATAAGCTGCAGTATTTATAGCTACAGGCAAAATTTAAATCATGGCAGGTTCTCAATACTGGTTCACTGCTATTGGAAATTCTTCAGTACTCAATGAAGCAGACAAAATGAATTGTGTATTACCTTCAAAACAACAACAAAAAATGTTCTGATTATCCTGTATTCAATTTAAAGTCTAAAAATCTTCAACCTAAAGAATTAAAAAATCCGGAGCACCTGGATGGCTCAGTCGTTAAGCGTCTGCCTTCGGCTCAAGTCGTGATCCCAGGGTCCTGGGATCGAGCCCTGCATCGGGCTCCCTGCTCTGCGGGAAGCCTGCTTCTCCCTCTCCCACCCCCCTGCTTGTGTTCCTTCTCTCTCTGTGTCTCTCTCTGTCAAATAAATAAATAAAATCTTAAAAAAAAAAAAAAGAATAAAAAAATTCATTGTATCCCTGTCTTTCAAATCTCTATGTGCATAAGAAACAAATGTCAACTAATCTTATTACCATGAAAAAACATGAACCCCGAAGAAATTATAGCAAAACCATGTATGATACCAACCTAGAGTTACAAGGAGATTCAAAAATAATATACTCTGTGACTTTTCTAGTGAGACAAGTAAGGCCCAAAGAGTTTCAATGACCTGCATAAATTCTCCTCTTACAAATTCTTTCTCAGAAAAACAGAATCAGACTTCACGTCTCCTGACTCCTTGTCTCCTGTCTTTCCATTGTACAGCCACAGACTTAAATCTTCTTTATGGTCACAGATAAGAAATAAAATACATGAGACATTTAACTAAAGTAAACCTGTTGTTACAATTCTTATGTTTTTAAGTGTTAATGCTTTTCTAATTTGGCAATTTAAAAATCATTACCCACAAAGCTATCTGTATTGTTTATTTATATAGCACACCTTTATTATTTATCTTTACATATCCCAATTTTAATTATTCTGAATGGTTGCTTTTTAGCTTGTAAAGAGGTAGAAAAGAATGCAGGAACTAGTAAAGGACAAAAAAAAGCTATAACAATCATAGACTTGCTTCAAAAAGCTCATTTATATAGTTAGGCCATAGTTGTTGGTTCCAAAACTTATCCTTTCTCAAAAAGCTCATTTAAAACTTCTCAGAGGGGGGCGCCTGGGTGGCTCAGTTGGTTAAGCGACTGCCTTCAGCTCAGGTCATGATCCTGGAGTCCCTGGATCGAGTCCCGCATCGGGCTCCTTGCTCGGCGGGGAGTCTGCTTCTCCCTCTGACCTTCCCCCCTCTCATGTGCTCTCTCTCATTCTCTCTCTTAAAAATAAATAAATAAAATCTTTAAAAAAAAAAAAAAAACTTCTCAGAGGGGGTGCCTGGGTGGCTCAGTTGGTTAAGAGTCTGATTGTTTTGCCTGAGGTCATGAGCTCATGGGTCGTGAGATCAAGCCCTGTGTGGGGCTCTGCACTCAGGGGGCAGTCAGCTTTAGTTTCTCTCTCCCTCTGCTTCTCCCCCGACTTGTATGCATGCTTGCTCACTCTCTCTCTCTCTCAAATAAATAAATCTTTTACAAAAATAAAAATAAAACGAAAAAATAAAAAATAAAAATAAAAATAAAACGTCTCAAGGATTAAGCTAATTTCCCAACTTTTCTTGGGGAATTATTTCATACCAACTTTGTATTTTAATTTATCATTCTAATAAATGTGTTCTCTCTCTTAGATGTCAGTATTTGCCTACAGCTATGCTCCCTCTTGTCATAACTATAGAGTCAGTAGTTAGAAATATGAAGTTTTTAAGTTTCCTGAGATATGGAATGTATTAATGTGAGGTTGATGATTATTTTAGTGTTTTGTGAGAGGTTTTGAGCCTCAAAAACAAATGCATGCTCTTTTCTGAAGAGGGATTTTTTAAGAGCATCTCAATTATAAAGGTGTCAGGCGTCTGTGTTAAAATCCTGGGTCTGCTACTTGCTAGCTACTTGACCTTGAACAAGTTATTAAACACTATGTGCCTCAAATTCCTCATCTATAAAATGAGGCCAATCATAAGACTTAATAGGATTGTGAGCATTAAAAGAAAATTGTAGCACAGTGTAGGCAAATAATAAATAATCAAGTAGTTATCGTTCTTACTTTTTTATACTTCTGTACTTTGTAATGTTTTTCTGGATGGGGGTTTGCTTCTCTTTTAGGTTCAGAGCATCATTCGCTCCCAAACCAGTATGGGTATGCGTCACAGAGATCGTCCTACTACTGGTAACACCCTCAAGTCTGGCTTGTGTTCGGCCCTCACAACTTACTTCTTTGGAGCTGATCTTAAGGGGAAGCTGACAATCAAAAACTTCCTTGAATTTCAGCGTAAACTTCAGCATGATGTTCTGAAACTAGAGGTAGGTATTCCTTGGACTTCAGGGGAACAGGGCACTGCCCGTCACATAAGCACATAGAGCCACTGGATGGGGAGGGCCTGCACTGTAGACATTCTTTCAGTCTATCTCCAACTGTGAGAACTGATTGGTTTGAACCTGACGGCAGATAAGAAATATTATGTTCTGCGAAGGTGTTTGGAGTAAGGTGGTTCTGGGACTGAAAACCAAAAAAGCCTAAATTGAAAATCTTAGTTGTCTTTGGATACTCAGCTTGAGGAAAAAGAAATTCAGGGGTCAGAGCAGTTCCCAATCTGAGCATGTATCACCAATTTTATGTTTATTTTGTAGAAGGCACCAGGAGGTGGAGATGAGGGGGGATAATAAGTAGATCTTTCTTTGAAAGCTTACAAAGGTAAAAAGAACTGGAAACACAAAAATGTCAGAATAAAAATATATGTGCTCAGAGTTGCAAAAATGTCATACTGTGTTGGAAGATTTACTTTTCCACTTACAGCTTAGAGACCATCATGCCAATCACTTCCTGGACACAATACTGTAAGAGCATTACCTTTCTCTATGTATATATTTAGTGAATTAAGTGTATTTTGGGTTAATTGGCTACTAAGGCTATTCAATTAAAAACATTCATTAAATGCCTCCTAATGCACTTTTTTTCCTGGAAAAAATGAAATCTGATCTTCAGGTTTTTAAAAATTCCCCTACATTGGTGTTTCTCAACTTCTTTTTTTAAAAAACATATTTGATATTATTTGAAATTTGAAAACATTAAATTACTATGACAAAAAACACATTAAAGTATTGGAGAAAAGCACTGCTTTGTTTTTAAACTATGTACATTACCTCTTTATCTGCTTTTCCATTTTTCTCCAAGATTCTGATAAGCTACTCCCACCTCTTCCACCCACTTAACTCAATTGAGACAGTTTGAAAAATCACAACTGAATTCTCATTATTGATAAGAACACCATTGAATGTTCATACTCTAGGAAAGAAGTATGGATAATATACTAAAAATCAGGTCAAACTTTGAAATGTGCTTTTGTACTTGTTTTCTGAAAATGGTATAATTGATATCCAAAGAATTTACATAAAAAAAAAAACAAATTAATGGAGCTCCACAATTCAGCCTTCTTGAGGGCAGTTCTTGGCCCCTATAATAAATGGTAAGTGCTGTGTATATGTGTGTGTATGTATATGCATATGTGTGTACACACACACACATATGGCATGGGAAGCAAAACTTTACCCTCCTAGAGTCTCTGGCTGGGGCTGAGAATCAAATTGACATAAGACAGATGAACAGGAGAAAAGCATATAGATTTTTAACATACATGGGAACCCCCATAGGAAAATGAAAACCCAAAGAAATGGTTAGGCTTACTAGACTTCATATACTAAGTTGAACAATGACAGGCAACTTATCTTTATGAAGTTTGCATTATTATCACCAGAGAAGGGGAGTCAAAGTAGAGAGTAATTTATACAAAAATCTTATCTTCCTTTAGTCTCCCCATGTATTTTAGTTACTTTTCCACAACTGCCTGTCTTCATTTCTTTCCTGCTGGTATAGGAAGGACATCTTTCACATCGGAGTTTTATTTCCTGCTTTCAGGAGTCTAATAACTTTTGTGTAAGAGTTGGTATGTACTGGGATTCTAGACATATGCCTTGGTCCCCAGTATGCATAACGGGAATGGTCTTTTTTGGAAACTCTATAACATAATTTGGGAATGTAAATTACTTAGCTTATTAATTATATAATTACAATTTAACACAGAGTATAGATCCACAAAATGCAGTTGGAGAATAAAGGGAATGGTACTTTTAACAAACTTTAAACAACAATATACAGTCATCCAGAACATGGGACAGGTGCTAGCCTGACTCTCATTCGTGGACACTCAAGTGGGAGTCTCAAGAGACACAGCATGAGGGGCACCTGGGTGGCTCAGTCGGTTGAGCGTCTGCCTTCGGCTCGGGTTGTAATCCCAGGGTCCTGCAAACCCCATGTCTGGCTCCCTGCTCAGCAGGGAGCCTACTTCTCCCTCTCCCTCTTCCCCTGCTTGTGCTCTCTCTCTCTCTGTCAAATAAATAAATAAAATCCTTAAAAAAAAAAGAGAGACAGCATGGGACTTTTTTGTCTTTCACTCTGAGATGCTATAGAGCAGAAAGCCCCCCAACATTGCCAGTGAGGTAGATTGTCAATGAGGTAGAATATTATAAAGTAGATTAGGGATTTCATACATGGGTACCAGCACAGAGCCTACGCTCAAGTGCAGGGAAACAGATCTAAGAGACGGTTGTATCTAAGATATTTATTGTGGAAAACACTCTTGTATTTTGACATTGGCTTAGGATCATCTATAGGCTGTGGTCCAAGACTACCAAGACTATTCCTGTTTGCCATTCAGCAATTCCTCATGTAAGGGAATCAGTAGACTCTTTTCTGAAAGAGCCCAGCCTAACATGTAATACATATTCTATAAATGTGTATTAATCCTGAATCCATTCTTTCCATGTGATGGTACAAGTCTAGTGAGTAAGTGCCTCCTTATCAATAACCCCCATATTTAAAGTTTCACGAATCAATACTTTGTCTTTCCAATTAGATTTGTAATTCTTTGAGGAGGTGTGAATAGAAGAAAGAACATACCTTTGGTGCTTTCATAATGAGACCTGAGTTAAAATTTTGTTTCCACCACTTACTGGCTATGTGACATTTGAGTTATTTACTCTCTTAGAGCCTAGCTCCACATTTGTAAAACAGGGCAATGGTTAAGTGAGATCATGTTCCTTATGGACTGGATTATGTTCCCCCAGAATTTTTATTTTGAAGCCCTTACCCCCAGTACCTCAGTATCTGACTGTATTTGGAAATAGAATCCTTAAAGAGGTGATTGAGTTAAAATGAGGCCATTAGAGTGGGCCCTAATCCAGTTCTACCAGTGTCCTTGCACTAAAAGGAAATTTAGACACACAGAGACCAGGGGTGCCCATGCACAGAGGGACAACCATGTGAAGAGACAGCAAGAGGGTAGCCAACTGCAAGGCAAGGAGAGAAGCCTCAGAGGAAACCTGCTCTGCCTATACCTTGATCTTAGACTTGCAGCCTCCAGAACTGTGAAAAAATAAATTTCTGTTGTTTGTCACCCAGCTGGTGGTATTTTGTTATGGCAGCCATAGCAAACTAATACAGTGATATGCCTGATGCCACATGACCTATACTATACCTTTAATAAGTATTCTTTTTATCTTCTCTGTATGTCCTCTGTCACTTAGTATGGCAGTTGTCATATATTACGCACTTAAACAGGTCATCTCAAATGAATGAAAGGCCCTTTGTTAAAATACTTTTTTTTTTAAAAGATTTTATTTATTTATATGACAGAGACACATGGAGAGAGGGAACACAAGCAGGCGGAGTGGGAGAGGGAGAAGCAGACTCCCCGCTGAGCAGGGAGCCTGATGTGGGGCTTAATTCCAGGACCCTGGGATCATGACCTGAGCCGAAGGCAGACGCTTAACCGACTGAGCCACCCAGGTGCCCCTGAAATACTTTTTTGATAAAACTTCTGGAAAACAGAAGCAAATTTTTGTTTTTATGAAACACTTTTGATTTCACTTTTCAAAGCTTGGGTAATTTCTCCCTTCACTGAATATGAAACACAATCTCATAATCATAGCCACGAGGAAAATGGAAATGATTAATAGTATCTTAACTTTCATATGGGTTTTTATAATTCCATCATTCTGTTTACCTCTTACTAGTTTTATTTCATAACTTACTTACTTTAAAATTTCAGAACAAGGAGGTTTATTATTCCATTTAGTTATTTTTTTAAAGATTTATTTATTTATTTTAGGGGAGCAGCAGCAGAGGAAGAGGGAGAGAGAGTCTTAAACAGACTCCACGCTGAGCACAGAGCCTGACTCAGGGCCTGATCCCACAACGTGAGCCGAAACCAAGAGTTGGACGCTCAATGGACTAGGCCACCCAAGCACCTCTCCATTTAGTTATTTCTGTCTTTTTCTCACTACAGTAGCTTTGAGAGTGAAGAGAACACTGTCAAATTTACTTTCCAGCAGGATCAGGGAAGAGGGGAAAAGAAAGTCCATAAACATTTATTGACAGCCTACTATGAGCCAAGCACCTTACAAATATTACATGCCTTTATTTTAAATCTTGCCAACCCTATTATATTTAGTGGTATTATGCCCATGTTTCAGAGGTGGAAACTGAAACTCAAAAAGATAAAAGTCACAGAGCTATCAAATGGTAAGAGCGAGAATTCAAACTCAGTCTTTCAGACTAAACTATCTTCTATTCTTTATCTGATTATTACTAGTTTTAGTCTAAGATGAGGGTTTTTTGCCTGACTTATTTGGAACTGTAAAGAAAAAGAAAATGTTCTGAATTTTAGCAACAGAAAAAGACCAGATTTCTTGAATATCTCGTCTACCTGCTTTAGCACCATCTTTTCCTAGTTCTTTTGCCCCTCAAATTGAGTCTTATGACTGAGAAGAAATACACTGTTCTTTTGTGTTTATAAGATATTACCTAAACTAGTCGTTTAATATCTTTTTATTACAATCATTAGCTTGTGAGGTTTTTATAAATGTTTTAATGCTTTTAATTCTGGTTATTTTATTCTACCCTTATTTCTCTATCTGGAAACTCAAAAAAACATGGGTTTGAAGGAATGACTTAAGGATACACGGTTGGTTTTTCAAAAAAATCTCTTTTGAAGTTATTAAAAATTCCATCTAAGGCTACAAAGAACTATTGAGTTGAGTTCCTTAGAGACGGATGCCAAGTCTAATTCCAATTAATATATTCATTGATTTCTTGAGAACTACAGTAAGTAGGATGTCAGTCAAAAATGAAAGGTAATAGAAAACTCTTTGAAAGAGTATAATTAATTTTAATTTGGGGGGAGGGGAAAAAGGAGCTGTCATGTCATCAAAGAAAAGCAGAAACTAATTTATACAAGAACGAAGAAGCCAACTCCAGAATATACAAGAAAACTGAAAGAGCATCATCTAATGAAA